TTTTTTTTTTTTTGCAATGATGGAAATTTTGAAACATGGACAAATTTTCTCCAGATAATTTTTTTGTGAAACGAAGAGGGAAAACGACTAGGGCTGTATCGAGAAACATCTAATGGTTATTGGAAGCTGGAAAGGCCAAAACTAAAATAAATAAATAAAAATAAAAAAACAAGAGAAAAAGGAAAGCAACACACTCTACAAAACACTACGAAGCATTGCACACTCTATTTCCACCACACTAGCAACTCATTTGCTAACTTTGGCTTACTTTTATTTTTAACAAATGATATTATCTATACTAATGAGATAAGAAAATGGACTAGCCTTACAATAGGCTAGTAATAATGTGATTCAAATTCACCTTTGGCGAAAATCAAACTGTAAACCTCTCACTTACCAGTTAAAAAAAATATTACTAAATCGTAGTACTAAGTGGCACCAGATTGTAATACTGCGACCTCTCACTTAATTTTTATTATATTACAACATAGATAGAAAAAAAAAAAATATATGGGATCCGCCAAGATCGGGCTCTCTAGGCGGTCGCTTTATCCGACTAATTTCAAGATTGGCCCCTGCATTCTACTTGTACACAATTACATGAACCATTTATAACTCTTAGCTGTCTATCTTTAGTGTCATTTAGAGCAATAAATTCTTCAATCCCTACAAGTGTCATTCGATTTGAAAATTATTTAATCACTTATATATATAGAATACACCGATAATTATGTAAATAAGTAGTATTCTAATAGTTAAATTGTCCATTTCTTTTTTTATACGAATAACTAAACAGTATTCAAATTGAATAAACTTTTGAAGAGTTGAAATTTTTTATGATGATAAAGATATTGCATAGTTCCAATTATGAAGTTTGTATCGGTGTAAATATCTCAGATATTATCGAAGTATGAGCACTTTGTTACCCCTGGGAAGGAGGAAGTACTGTATCTATGAGAAATGTTAACGAGATTCTCTTCAAGTGAAACTCTTTATAGATTCTAGCCACCTTGTAGTTTAACGTTGATCTCGTGTCAACATTATCTAAAAACATGAGGTAACGAAGAGTCTATAAGAAGTCTCACTTTTAAAAGAGTTTCGTTAGCATTTCTCTTCTATCTGTAAGTATGTCTAATCTCGTTGTAATGATGTGCCAGCTGCTAACATGTTTCAGAGGTACTGAGGTACTAATGATGTTTAAACTTTAAATTACGTGATTAGACTAATTGAAGGAAGGAAACAATGATTATATCCAAACCCAAATGTTTCCCATCTCCATAACACCTTTCTGGCAAGAATGGAGTTTCTGCATGCCTCCTTCATTGCAAAATTATTGAAATCGATAAGGAATTGAAGAAAAAACAAAAAACGATAAAAAAAGAAAGTTAGGCCATTGGATTCTTTAATTCTGTAAACACACGGTGGATAATCATCTGTTGAGCACCATCAATCAGTCGGCGGTCGAGAAGATAAAAGACATATTCCCATATAGGTAAGCCAGCTGTGTTACTTCCATGTAATCCAAATCATTTGGGGTCATTTTAATGAAATATTTGTGGTTCCAATCTCCAATCATTGAGAGGACTTTGGACCAGGATACTTGATTACGTAACATATCGATTATTTAATGTTGGCAAATATCTATAAGTCATTACTATTGATAATGAAAATTTACGTACGTAAAAAATAAATGACAAATTTATTAATGTCTGATTGGATGATCAGACAAAACACATGGTTAAGCCAAGTGAAGCAAGATATTATATATGGCCAACTATGTTCTTCACGAGTCATGGTTTCAATATGATCAATGTTTCCGGTTCCCATTTCTAATTATTTAAAGAATATTAAGTTAGGCTGCTAATTACGTAACATATTTTGCAAACTCAATCGACAAACTATTGACTACAAACTTGTCATCTATAATTAATGCCCTTGATACTCCAAATACATAGTTATCAATATGCTAGCTTGCCATTGAAATCCTAAGTGAAAAGTAAATAATGACGCAATAACATCTTATTAGTTGTTTCGATAAGATACGCGGTGAGCTTTGTGTAGACCATGAATTTCTTTGGCCCTCATCCTTCAAAATTACAAGAGTGTATTTTTGTTCGTTATGCTCACTAAAATTATTGTTAGATTATTTTAAGTTTAAAGATTTGTATAACAAATAGAGTAAATCAAACTCATGCAACGGTAATCAATAGGGTGGTGAACATGATCATCACTTTAGAATGATGAACATCACCACCACTTTAAGATGATGAACATCATCATCACTTTTGGCTGATGAACAAAAATAGTTGCATTACAAGATGATCCTAGTGGGATCGAAATCAAAGTTTTAACTTAGCCGTGTCACAATTCCAGCTGGCGAATCTCCAAAAGTGCATGAATTATTGGTTAATTTTTGAGGTATATAAGAATCTACAGTGCCCTCAAATGGGCTGCTAGAGGGTGACAACTCTTTACTAATTATTCTCATAAGAAATTGATGGATCAAAAGTTTACACAATTTGTGTAACGTTTACTCGGTCAAAGCGGGCTCATACACCACCAAATGTCTTCCATGATTTTCTTAGCCCTCTGTGGGTCAGGACAGTGGTCACTATATCTAAAGTGTGCCATAACCTGACAAAACCCCAATGTCGGTCAGAATATTCAGATTACATTTTGAAGGGAGATGTTAAAAAATAAAATAATGCTAAGTAGATCAAATTTTATTTAATAAAATTTATAAATTAAATAATATGTCAATAATAAAAAATAAACATATTAATTGATATTTAATTAATAATTTAATAATCTACAACCATATTATTGGTATGCAAATTTTGTTTAAATAATTTAGTTTCACTAGCATTATTCTAAAAGATAAATATCAAATGTTAATTTGATAACTGACGACGTGATAATGTCAATTTTTTCTTCCTTAACCCATTAATCTATTTTTAAAAAGAAATCAATTAAAATTAATTTTCAAGATTTATAACTAATGTCTCTAATAAAATAATTAAAAAATAGTCGACAACATTTTTTTCATATGTCAAATTTGGCAGTAAAAAATTCATATGTCAATTCACTTAGGATTGGTACATCGGTTGGAACTTTTTTATACTTTCAAATTTGATTGCATGACATTCCATTTAAAATCTGACATCTTCTTTAGAGATGGTTTTATGTCCCGGTGAAAATAAAATAAAATTGCCTCATATATTGTATCATTAGGTTTTTTTTTTAAAAAAAAAATTCATTTCAAAAATCAAGAAGATGATTTTGCTTGCAGTTAAGCTTATATTTCAATATTTGTTTTGTTAATTTGATTGAACGAGTGCAGACTGCAGTAGGCATGTACAAAAGTGCGGCTATTTTGGACTGAGTTTGGTATGGACAGAAATGGCATGTCATTTAGTATTGGTTTTCGTTTTGAACACGAATACTCTACCAAATTGATAGCTCCATAAAATTTAGGGAACAAATCGACAAATATGTCAAAAAAATGGTTCGGTACAGAAATCGTACCATTACTGATTGATACCACTTTTTGACATAAAACCAGTTTGCTATGATGGATAATTCGGTAGATACGGTGCAATGGTACAATAAATAGTTTTGCAGCCGATGAAGTTGGTTGGGGGCTTTTGAACCGGTGAAAAAAACCCAACAAAGAACCAAACCGGTTCAAATCATGATCGACTTTGTTGGTAAAACAACCACAATATTAAAAACCTAACCGAGTCGATTATGGTTTGATTCAGTTTGGTTCTCAGTTTTGACACTTAAAAAACCAAACAGACCTGTTATTAAGTACATGTAATCACCTGCTTTTCAATCGCAAACCTATGTTTGAAATTTGATGGTTATGCATGGTTTTGGAGGTGACCTATCTAAACCGAACCGTTTCCATTCTTAATGTTGGTGAGGTGCAACTACTAGTCTCAAAAGTTTAATTTGCAGAAAAAAAACGAGTCAACAATGTTTATCAAGCTTACAGTTCGCTATCATGAGTGTCATTTATGACATAGAACCCATTTCCCCGTTTAACAACCATCGGACCATCCCCTTTTCTACCTTTCATTTTCTCCTTTGCGGCCAACAACCCCTTTTGATTGTTATCTCAGTTTATCTTCATCTGTTTGGTCTGCCATGCTCCATTATTGTTTGGACTCCCATCCTCTCCTCAGCAGCATTTTGGTTCAATAATTTTTGGATCCGTGTTGGGTCTTTAGCCACACAATTTCAATACAAAATCTCAGGATTTTGCCAAGCAAGCATGGATCAATACAAAGAAAGTTTCTGGCGACTTTCCGGTCAAAAGGATAACTATTAGGGTTACGTTTTGCACTCTCAGATTTGAGAACAATTGCAATATTTATACAAAATCTTTAAAATATTTCAATCTCATACATAAACTAATATTTTAGTTGTACTTTCATACATCCTATTAAGTTAGCTGTTAAGTGATGACATGATAACATGTTCCACATTTGTGTTGAAACTTGACGTGACTGCCGATTTATGCCACATGACGAAACAACTAATAAAATATACTTGATTATAAAAAATATTAGTTGTTTAGTCATGTGCTACAAGTTGGCAGCCGCGTCAATCTCAAGTTTGTATATGAGATGAAATGTTTTAAAGATGTATGAGGTTGCGATTCCAACTAAACTTCAGAGTGCAAAACGTAAGTTACCCAAACAAATATTAGGGACGCATTTCAAAAATACAGCAATGCCTAACCAAAATCACAGGGATCAGGAATGCAATAGCTCCTGATTCATACAAAGAGGGTTGCAAACAAAACCGATCTAGAGATTGAAGCCACCATCAGAGAGGTACATGACAGAAACTTGATCGTGTTTTTATCATTAACAAAGGAAACAATAACGTCGATACATCGGAACCGATTTAAGATTGCAATTGCAGTCCTACTGAACTGAAAACCGGCCTAGAGATGCTGATGTGGTGTTAAACTTCATTCTAGTGAGCACATGTACGGAAGACATCAAAAATCTATTAAGCATAAATTGTGTTATAACAGAAGAAACCCTCTGCCGCCCAGTGGCTTAAGCACTGACTATGATAAAAAAATAATGAGCCTCTGGGCATGGGGGACTATCATACTGAATTCAATCATATTGCGGACTGCATTACACAGAAGCTCATAAACGCTTTGTTTAATGGGGAAAAATGTCAAACCTCATGCCCTTTGTCCATATGAGTTTTCAAGTACTCGAACTCCTGGTCCATATATCAAATGACATCGCTCATTAAATGAACCAACAAGCTTAGAGACCACCTCCTTAAAGAATAGCGATGCCACCTGGGACAAGAACCATTGCCACATCACAATTATTAATCGAGTTCATCATGATTTAAATTCTCATCTTCAAACTTTAGACAATGAAGAATTCAGGATAATTTATGTGGTTGCTGAATAACTGCCACGGAAGAAAGTCTAATACTGAATAAAGAACCTTACCTGTCGGTAAAGTGGCGACTGGAATTTAAAATCCACCAAGAAATAAAGGCTGCAAGATCCTGGAACTGGCCCCGGATTGAATTCCCAGATGTTTATGAGATGATCGAAAAGGGAACTATTTGATACAGTTGACTAGAATTAAAACAGAAATAGAGACTGTTAAAAACCGAACTTTCAAAAATAAAACCAAAAGCAAAACCAACAAAGCAAAGCAACAAATTCAGGGTATATTCAGTAAGAACCACTTAAAATACTAGTTTGAAAAATCACATCAACAAACGATACCAAGATATTAGTGAAAAACTAAATTAGCCATCCAACGACTTACAAAAGTGACAGACTGACAGTACTGAGGTTTTTCTTTTCAACCATCAACAGCAATCTATTGTTGCTCTAACTTGTCATGTTTAAGCCAAACGCACAAACAAAATTTTAGGAAGAATTCAATCAAAATTTTGTATCCCAATAAGCATTAAGATCTGGTACATGCCATGCCAATCCTAAGCACACCATCAACTTCAAAACTCCAAGTGTGTGATTTCAGCAGGTACATTGGTCAGTTTCTCTCACACTCACTACTACAAAAATAGACAATGTCTCCAAGCTTAAATAACACAAATATTTTTTTTGTTTTTGAGAATATAGTAACAAGTTGCAAATTAACTTTTGGATGAATTATAGTATAAACTAACGTCATCTCCCAATGTTCTAAAACGCAAGTGAAGCTCCTTCAACATAATCCAAAGAAAACCCCTGGACACCTCAGTGAAACCTAATGTCTGTGACGCAAAGGCAGCTAAAAACAAAACGGTGTTTAGATATTCTCTGGTAGCTCACATATAAGTCTCAGGTATTTTGTTAACAGAGTTAAGAAAATCAGAGTATATCACCAGTGAACTACTACAATACTATTGATCAACTATCAGCAAGCAGAAATGTTAACACATGGATGGTAATAGAAACATATAGAAGGAATCATGGCAAGCTTGAAGAAAAATGATTGCCTTTATACGCTTTGGTCTCTCTAATTCGACATGGGAGACGTAACTTTCAACAAGAAATTTAAAGCCAATCTCGAGCTCAGCATCAAATGATCCATCCCGATAATTGTTAATTATGTCAGACCGCTGACACCAGGGAACGAAACCATGATACAAGTCTACCGCAGCAACCACATCGTATAACTGCTCCGGAGAATACCTAGATTCCAAAAATGCATCAGCCCACGTCTATCTCACATAGCAATCAAATGAGGGATACATCAAAACGATACAAAAATGAAATTCGGCATTCAAGACGAAATCTTTCATGGCTGGTAATCAATTGGGTCATTAGTTAATACAATGTCAAATATTATAATGCCAGAATACATATCAAGAGCTCCATTGCCTTTGAACTAAACAGAAATTCTAAATACAAGTGAAATCGTTTAAAAGCAGCTAACATAGGGGATGGTCAGAAAATCAGAAAATTATGAAATTGAAGAAAACTTACCCCAATACACGCCTCTCCTCATAAACTTTGGATAACACGCCGCCTTCTTCGCCGTCGCCGCAGCCGAGAAATTGCCTCCGTGACCTGTAATTGAAATCCAGCTGGGAATCGGCGGTCCATTTGTGGACCGATGATGACGGGGTTTCTATGCCCACAATGCTACCAAAGCACCGAATCGGGTCGAATTTCCGGCTGGACCGGACCAGATGCCTGGGACCGATTCTGCGGGAGAGCAAGGACCCCACCGCCTTCGAGGTCGTGCTCGACCAGAACAGCGGCATTGTGAGGTTCTGCGATCGGGAAACCCTAATTGCGATGGAACGCAATCGAATTGACAGGGAGATTGAAAGCCCCAAATGTTTAATTAAGTTTTCTTTTTTAGTAAAAATTGTTTGCAAAGTCTGGGACGTAAAAGCTGAGGAATTTACGTGAGAGGTATACGAAAGTCACAGAAGCCAAGGGATTAGAATTGACAGTGGACAAAAAATAAGAACGATCCGGATGCGTTTACGGATTTTAGGTTGACGTGTCCATATTTTTATCTATTTTAATTACGGCAGGGGTCGAAGGAGACGGATATAATGTCATAGCCCAGCACTACCGAGTACGGCACGTTTTGTGTTCGGTTTCTGTCAGTGGTGAATCAGAAATTGAAATATTTCTTAAGTTTTTTCGAATTCCTAAAGGATGAATTATTATAGTGAAATCATCAGCTACCCCTTTTAAAAAAAATCACTTAAAATATATTTTTATTTCACAGTAGCGTTTATGTTTGAACTTAATGATGAATTCGATTAATATGTAAACACGATATAATAGTGGGATTAAAGAACTTGCATGTTTATGGTTTGTCATATTTTGTGACTCCAAAAAGTAGGTAATCATTCCTACTCCACTCTCAATACAAAACATGGTCGGCTTACACGTATGAACTTCCTAATTCCTACCAAAAACGCAGCCTCCATCAAGCCTCCACCAAGTCTTTCAAAAACAAGTACGACAGACATCACCAATTTCTTACCACGTTCAAACTTTCAGTCCTACTTTTCGCATTTTTCAGTTCACAATGTCTCACCTCAATTTAAATTACACTACCCATACAAATGTTCGAAACCAGAAACCCTAACTATCACCTGTGGAACCCGAAGTAGTTGTAATTATCAACTTTATCGATATCGACAGACGGCTAACAAGGAGGAAGAGTTGGTTGACCGCTAGCAGAGAAAAACTCTCTTACAAAGAGGTAGAGTCAGTTGACCGCTAGCGGAGAAAAACCCTCTTGCACCCCATATATTATCTCAATGGAACCACTCTCTATTAGATAGTTATCACGTAATGTCACAAGGCTATAAGAAAAAATCTGTATCACTAGCAATTAACAATTCAAAAGACTGGCGTCTACCTTGTTTTCATCGAAATTCCAGACTTTCAAGGAGCACAAACTAAGCCATAGAAAATTTAACAAATACTTCCTGAAGGGTTGATTTTACTTTATTTCAGGCTTGGTTCAACAGTCATTACAGTCATTGCAGCGCAGAAGGCCCGGCCGCAGTAGACAGTAAGCTGTCTGAACTGCCGGTTTCTGCCTCGCCCGAAAAAAATGAGATACAACGTTCAATCAATACAGTACTAGCAATCGGCAATGGTACCAACAACAATGACTAATGAGAAACCAAATCTATACAGGCATAATAACAGCACATTCTGGCACCCGATTCCTACTCCTGCTGTTCCGATGTCACTTGTACTCGTGTTCAAAACATATGAACAAATGCCTTGATTGAACTTTATCTACCTCTCCACCTCTCCCATTGACATACACACTAAAGTATGCGTGTAGACAACAGCACTTTAAACTCGGTGTCTAGCGCCCATCTGCAGTCTCCAATATCCATCCATAATTTCGTAGGTTACAAAATAATCGTCCTATGCATCCATTTTCTCTTACACGGTCTCCTTTCCTCTAGCTGTAGCAATAGTATACCATTCTTAGTTACATCGTCAGGTACCGGCAGGCTTGCGGAGTGGAACAACCTAAAGTTGCAGAAAGAGAACAACAATTTTAGGACTCCATCGCCACATGATACGATAGTATGGTAGTAGCATAATGCATTGAAGACATTACCTGATCGTTACTTGAGGTATTAAGTATAAGAGTTTTCATCCTCTTACCGTCACATGAACCAACTGCCTTTTCTTTGATATCTTCATCGACAAAATTCTGATCCGAGACCTCTGCAAGAATAATCAAAATATGAGTCAAAACTTTTGGGATGTATAACATATAGACAGAACTCCTGTTTCAGACAATTGTAGAGAGAGAGTACGAATTACGATCCATTCGGCCTTAAAGGACTAACATTTATCGTTACTTTGCGATGCTGAAAAGGAATCGTGTCTGCAAAATGCATGAAAGATGTCCAACCATATTTCCATTATTCTCTATTTCTACGTTCGGGCCATCTAAATCGCAACTACTTCACAATGACTATAACCGAGTTCAAATCTTAAAAGATAAAAATTCAAGACTGAATGAATGAATGAGGCACGATATTTCACTAATCAATTTTCCAGCAAACACACCAAAGTGTAGCTGAGAGCACCTGTGTTGCTTCCAATCATATCCTGATGGCGCAACTGAGAGTGAGATGCATGAAACTGCGTCGAGCATGTAGCTGGTGCACCCGTCATTTCCTTCTTCCTACTTGAATCGACTTCTTCACATAGTGATGTATCCAGTTCTTGGACAATGGGAGATTCAAATTCTTTGGGCTTGCCGGCAGATCTAAAGTGCAGGAACCACGGATTCGCCAGAAGATCTTCATCTGCCCTTGCTTCAGCCTCAGCTCTTACAAAATTGACTTTCTGCCAGCAACCGCCTCGAAGTACCTTAAACTGCAGTAAACAAATAACTCCGAATGAATCAACCATAATCATACAATACAACACCAAAATCCATAATCCATTTAAAGTAATAGATTGAGTTCAGACCCGGCCGGAAGGGGCACGAGAATTAAACTGGGGTTGCTTTTGCCTTGACAATTTCGGATGCGATGAATTCCCCTTCTGCGAGTTCCGACCACGCGAATCCATGGAATTATACAACTGGTTAACAAATGATGCTTCCATGGATTTCAGGTACATGCTGTGTTTCTCATCCGTCCATTCTGTAGACATAGTTTCAGTCGGAGCCGCTATACCCTAATACAAGTTGCACACAATCATCACAAAATCTTCAGAAAACATTCAAACTAACACAAACAATTTCATACACACTGACAATATATTACTTGCATAAATATCAATAAGGAAAATTTGACATTCAATTAATATTTACCCAGATGAGCAGTGGCATGACAAATATCACACATTATATTCATAAAATAAAAACCCATATTTCTAATTAATATAAGAACCTAAGAAGGATTGGGGAAAAATATATATATAAGAAGGATTTTATATTCTAATTATTTATAAAAATCTATAAAATAAGTCAACCCCATCTGGGTGCAATTTCCATTAGATCCCAGCTCAAAGATGAAGAATTTCCAATACAAATTTAAGTTTAATTGGGTTTTATTATTCCTGCAAAAATTTGTAATTCTCAAAACTAAGAAATGGGAAACACCGAAAAAGATCCAAGTAATGATTTTTCAGCAAATAATAAATAAAAAAAGGGCTGTACCAAGCCGTCGGAAGGAGGGTCCTCCGCCGGCGCAACATCCCCGCCCAGCCGCTCACCGGTCTGCATAGAAACCTTCAACTCTCCCCCGATGAAATTATCCATAACTACCAAAAACACCCACCTCTCAGAATCTACGATTATTTTATTTTTTTTTTTTTTTTGGAGTTCTGAAAATTTTCAGATGATTCCAGAAGGAGACGAAAGGGGAAAGAGTTGGAGGAAATAAAATGTGAAGAAATGTGAGGGGGGTTTTGGTGCTTTTGGAGGCGGTGATGGGAACGAAACCGTACAGTTGTCACTCTTTTACACGTGTCATGGGGCCATGGCGTCGCCACGTCACTCCAGGGTTCGATTGAGGCAGCCCAGATATTTATTGGAGGCCTCCAAAATATCTTTTGCCGATTTGGTTTTCGATCTTTCTGGATTACGTGGCATCCCCACTTTTTACCGTCAACCCGCAACGCTTCTTCGCGCGCGCTCTTTCCCTTTTGGGTCCGGTCGGTGGTCCAATCGTTTTCTTCTTGATATTTGTTTGGTTTCTTCGTTTGAGCTTCTGAGGTCAAAAGATATTTTAGTATTTCCCAAACATTAATTCAATCGTTTAATTGACCAATCAAACTCATAGACTTCTCTCCACTTTTTTCAAGGGAAAAGATTATTTTCAAATCTCGAAATAATTAGTTTTCACTGTATTATCCTTATCTCATTTCTATATCTTTAATATCTGATTGATGTAATACCGTAAAATATCTCATTCTGATCGGTCTAATAATGGGTAAAAAAGTGCCAATTTTTTACATCTTAACTGATGTTCCATTTTTTGGTCATCATTTAGTTTGGTTACGAGCCTTCTCAATGGGTAAAAAGGTGCCAATATTTCGGCCCTTTTCGAATTAATAGAGCATCTATAAAGGAGATCTTACGTCTAGATGAAGATATGATTGTGCAAATTTGACATAAAAAATCTTTCAAGCTGAAGGATTATTTGCTGACTGGATTTAAAGCTTGTGTATTTAGAAGTCAAATTTGTCATCAACGTCAAATTTATGTTTGATTAGCTTAATGGTGGATTCCTTATTCCACTAACATTTCAATCAATATTGTTTCAACAATTTTTTTAAGAAATATTGTTGTGGCCTATATTCTACAAAGGGGTGCGGCAAAAGGAAGAGAAAGATATTCGAGAATAGACTTGAGGAATTGTGTGTTTATTTCTCAATCTTTGTGCTTTATTTATAGTAATAAGAAGGAAATAAACTTGCTCTCCAAGTAATACAAAGTCTATTACGAAAGATCTTCTAGATCCCAAATGATTCCTATTTTATCTCTACTTAGGATTTACACAATCACAATGTTGATAAGAACGTATGTCACACCAAATATAACAATTTAAAGCTCAAAATTAATAGAAAAATAACATTTAACAATTCGGTTAAACAAACACAAAATTTAACATAAAAATTCAGATAACATATCAGCCATCAATTTTAATTTAATTCTAATAATTTGACATTTTCCATTGAATACGGCCTTACATCTGTTAGCTATCTTCACTTGAACATCCAAAAGTAACTCTTTATTAATTTATTTCGTTTGACGGTTGATATTAAGTTAATACATTATAAAAAAAATATTAACAGATTAAAAACCAAGTTGAAAGTTTGAAAATAACAGTGAGAAGAATGTTGGGGTAACATTGGGGATTAGTTTCCTTAAACATAAATATCTGAATTTGGTGAGGTCCAATGGAATCACTGAAATTTAAAATTATGGAAGAAAACGACGTGTTGGGATAAAGAAATGCCATCACTTTTATGAAAGTTCTGCCTCACTAAATAATTCAAAGTTTGCAATTTGATTCTTTTTTTCTACCCTTCTTTAGGGATATTTTAGAGTATTTTTAAAAGAAATATCAAAAAGTCCACATTAATAATATGAAGATTATATTCACACTTCAAATTACTTCTCCCACATCTTTTAATTTTTTAATATTTTTCTATCAAGTGTTAGTGGTGTGTAGAAAATATTAAAAAATTAAAAGAATGTGGGAGAAGTAATTTGGGGTGTGTGAATATAATTTCTTTAATAATAACAGTTTCTAATACAAATGTAAATTTTTGACATGATATGAATTTGCAGCAATAGAATTGTTGTCAAACTTGACGAATGAGGATCTTCGAGATCATCTTTTTGAGGATCCTATGCATCCTCAAATCGTGTTCGTTCATGATACATCGTGCAGTCATAAATTATTTTAAATTATTTTATTTAAAATTAAACATGAACAATACCTGATAAAAATTAGCCACACGATAGATGATAAACAGACATAATTTGAGAATTCCCGAAATCCTTCAAAAGATCCTCATTCAAACTTGACAATATCTTCCAATTATTTTTATTATTTTTTCTATTGGTTAAAATATTGATTTATTCTAAAGATTTTATTTCAATTATAATTTGATTGTATTATTTATTACAATTTAAAATATGAGTTCAAAATAGACAAAAATAAAAAGTGTAGATCCGGGATCAGAAAATATCTGTGAGTAGGGCCCCAAAAATGAGGTGGTAATCTGGCTCATTGAAAATTCCAAGGGTATAATTGGGCAAGTCAGAATCGGATCACTTGGATGAGGTCCATTGAATATAGCTCTTTCTAGTACTAACTCGATGAGAATTCATGCATTGCATCATTACAACTAAAAGCAACTTCATCTCATCAACAGGAAAATAGGTAGTTGTAAAACCGGAGAGGGCTTTTTAGTTAAAATAATTTTGAGAGGGCTTTTTAGTTAAAATAATTTTTAAAATTTGTATAACACATTATTTTGATATTTGAGATTTAAAATCAATAAAAATGATATTGTCCACCATCAATCATTTTGGTTATTTTGTGCAAAATTATATTAAATAAAGATCAAAATGACAAATATACCATCAACTTAATAAACAATGCGTTGACAAAAATTAAGGGTATTTTGGTTATTCTATTCTTATTTAATGAATTTTTTTTTCAAGGAATGACCAAAATGATTGATGATGGACAAGCTCATGAACCAATTATATTGATTTTAAATATCGTGGATCAAAGTGAAGAGTTATGCAAATCTTATTGACCATTTTGACTAAAAAGCCATTCAGAGATCAAATCTATGCATGCATTTTGCGTGTGGCTTATTTGTGACATTGATTATTAATTGATATGTGTTAAGTTTATAATAATAAAAGTAAGGAGAGCTAAGTTTATAACCCGTGTTAATCAATGATAGAGACAACAGAGAAGCAACATACACAAATTGAGTGTAGAAAATTTGAACTCATCACTTCAATATTTTTTTTTACAAAGGATAAGGTAATTATACTAAATTCATCTAATCTATAGGAGGAGATTCAAACTTGAATGCAAATAGTGTAGCACACTGCAATAGTCAACTTGGTTAAGCTCAAATCTACAAGATCATTTGTATTGGTTGAGAAAGCTAGCCACATTACCCTTGCACGCATTTCTTTTATTTTTTTCTCGTTATTTCACATAATACAATGTAACTTTAAAATCAGAACCATCTATCTTTTTAAACGTCTTTATAAAAATTGATCATATCTTGTAAAATATCTTTATAAAAATGGATTTATCAAAAATCATGTAATCATCCAATTGTTCTTAACCACATAAAGTTATAAACATTGTTTTGGCTAAATATTATGTTACCACATAGTTAATTAAATGAGTAGATAACATTGATAATTGCAAGCCAACAGAAATGCATTCATCAAAGTTTGGCGGTGCCACTTGTCACAAAAATAATGAGTGCACAAATGGATAAGTGATTTTCTTTGCTAGAACAAATGGACAAGTGAAGCCCCCCAAAATGAACGAGGATCCTCTCTGAATCCTTAAATTATGTCTGTTCATTGTACATTGTATGATCAGTTTTCGTTAAGTACTATTTATATTTAATTTTAAATAATTTCTGACTACATGATGTATGATGAACAAACATGATTTGAAGATCTCGGAGATCCTCACAAAGAGAATCTGGAGAGGATCCTCGTTACCCCAAAATAAGTTCATTTTTTGTCCTTATCCAGTTTGTCAACAACAAATGGAGGTGTAACGTGAGCGAGGCCAATTGATCAGAACAATGTGCCCTGCCCACCTTACATTCTAAGTTCAAATCATCCTCCCCTCAGTTAGAACAATCGCACCGGTCAAAATAATGTGTCGTTGGTGTCAAATTCAATTTGACACAGCATCCATACAACTTGTTAATGTGATACAAATTTCAAACATGTATCCATTCTGATAGACAAAACTGAATTAACCTGTTAATGTACAACGAAAGTCTGTACCAAAGGGGGATCTCTCTATATGTTAAAACAACAAATCTCCCAAAAATAGGGGGAGCGGGGATAAATGTTTAGCTTAAGAATGATGGATTTTACAATAGTTATACATCAAAGGCGTATTTGGGGTGGTGTCATAAGAGAAATAGCACCCAAGATCATATCAACTTTGAGCTGACCTTTTTATTCATGTCTTCGTGTAATAAGCACGTGTTGCCGAATCTAATCTTGAATAGTAACGACGTCTTCCGTTGCAGATCACGTGCATGAAGAAAATAAGAATACGCGGTGCAGTACAAAATTTAGATTTCCTGCTTCGGATCACCCTCCGGTATCACAGTGTCTTGCAGGTCAATTCTACCTGCAATTGCAGGAAGCAGAAAGAGTAAGGTAAAATTTAGCCAGTTGTTGTGTTCCAGAAACTAAAAAAATTATAATTATCGGATGCCGGAGTCTTGAATTATTGGATAACAGATGAAACTGCCGATACATAATGATGCTATAACTCTATACCTATACACTGAGAGTTGAGATAAAAGATGTAACTGCAAGAAAACCGTACCTAACAAGGAAATCAGAGAAGGGGACTTTGAAGATCCATTTGATCTCATATCTGTACCTACAATGTATGGCCCAAGTATAAGGCTAGGCATAAATTTTGAAAGAGGCACAAAGAATAATGCGACATCTCCATGAAATATGATTCATTTTCTCATGTCAGAAGCAGACCTGAACTTTCAAGCGATTTAAGGACATCGGATTTCTTAAAGGTGTATCCAATGAAATTGGTATCTTTTGATGTTAACATCTGCAATGCCAAACAAGCTAAATCAGGTAAGGCTTCATACTGATACAGCAATGATTAGCATAGAGAACTAAAACAATTCTCTCTCATAAAATGCTTTGTAGCGTGCTGGCAGGGGTAACGGGGGACGCTATTGGACATGTGAAGAAAATGCTTTACTTAAAGGGAAAACAAAATTGAAAGAGCATAACAGAGATTTCAGCATCTTGGTCCCAAAACGAGAATATGAATAGGGAATATGAAGTTTACCTTCCGCCAAGGTCCCACTGTTGGCATTGTAGATGGCGGTCCCTCTACCTATAATGGAGCAAAAAAGAGGGAAGGAAGTTAACAACAATATTTGGTTTTGATTCAACAAAAATATGCTTAAAGACATGGACCCAAAAGATAGTGCCAGGCCTCTTAAGGAAGTACAAATGTGCAAAGAATATCAGGCATATCTATATCTTCATCGGTTCATCTTAAAAAAAGTTCAAATTTTGCCCCACTAAAGGATAAGATTCCAAATCAATATCAGTGAACTCACTTCAGGAAACTTCTCGAAATTCTGAGTGTCCAAGTCTCCGATGACTCTGGGTTTATATGCAGCTTCGCCTTCATACAGCCTGTCCCACTGAGTAGATCTGAACCATGGATGGGCCTGAGAAACATTAGCTTTATAAGTGAACAAATATCAAACAAGAATACATTACAACATTAACATTCATGAGTAAAATAATTTAAGAACAATCCATTGCATTTGTTTACTTATGTATAGTACCATAACTATTTCAGCACACCCCACCATGTGATTACTTTCAGGTTTAATTTCTACATTATAGCAGCTATTTCAAAAACAGTAGTTCCTTGAAATTTCATGTGATACTCATACAGAACATCATTAGTTCTTTGAAACCTGGTAACTTACCTTAATTTCTTCTGCTCCATGAGTCCCAAGCCTTGACTCAACATCACATAACAAGTGACAGATCAGATCCTTTGCTTCTTCCGAGATTTTGGGTTCGTCAGGGAATTTCAGGTATGTCCTCCAATTGATTATCTACAGAAAACAGTAATGTTGTCTAACTCTGCTGCAATTATAAAGGATTGTTTCAAATATCTAAGAAATACAATCACGATATTACCTTGCGGCATGTGATCCTTGGGTCATCAGAGTAGAAGGGAGGATAGCCTACAAGCATCTCATACATAATTGCCCCTAGGGACCACCAATCACACTCTATTCCATATCCTTTCTTGAGCAACACCTCAGGTGCCATATAGTCAAGAGTTCCAACGGTTGAATAAGCCTAAACAAGATGGATGTTTTTAGTAACTCAGAACAATTACAATTAGTCACTCAATAACTACGAGGTGAAGAAGTTACAAATTTCAAATAATCTGCATAAAAAAGTGCATCACTGCTTGATATGTCAGCATACTTAATTCAATATTTTGGATGAGTATTTCAAGAAGAATTGAAAAGAAAATCGGATTAAATTACCAAGGCACGGCGATTTCGTTTCCATTGTTGCAACTGTTCTTTTGGCATCAACCAAGGAACCTTATCACAACCAGACTGTCCTTCAGTTTCAGATATGGATTCCTGGGAGGTCAAATCATCATTTTCCAGCAACAATGTCGAATACTTGTCATCCAGAGGTTTACACAAGCCAAAATCTGAAAGCTTCAAATGGCCATTTTTATCCAGTATCAGGTTATCTGGTTTTATGTCCCTATATGAAGAACAAGGTCACGTAGATGTAAGTTTAACTGTTTTTACTCCGAAACAAGTACTTTTTCAAATAACATGGAGTTTCGTGTGTTTTTATGTGTTCCCTTTGTGTCTGTGTACGTTAACGGTAAGAACCTGCTAGAGAACCCAAATGTGTCCACATTCAAATCACCTTTATATTGAACTAAAATACTATCGAACCAAAAACCAAGTGGAAAGGAGAAAAAACTTGTTGCTATTGACTAAAATTTGAAACGGTACACAACTGTCACACCTATGAATGTAGTTGTGTTGATGGATTGAGTGAATAGCCAGAATACTCTCTGCCATGTAGAAACGAGCAACATCTTCAGAAAGAGTATCTTCTCTCATCAGTAATGTCATAATATCACCACCAGGTAAGTACTCCATGATAAGGTACAAGAAATCAGAATCTTGAAACGAATAATGAAGTTTTACAATGCACCGACTATCAACCTCTGCAAGCAAGTTCCTCTCAGAACGCACATGCTCAACCTAAAATGCAAAAAGACAATATATCATGACGCACAATGATATGGTAATATTGTATCAAAAGACAATATATCATGACGGACAATGATATGGTAATATCATACAATATCAAGACAAGTATCATGTTAGCGTAACATGATTGTATTAAAATAAATATAGATCAATTCTTAGGGTACTCAGTTTTCTAATTAGAACCAATACTTTATAGAACTGCTTCGTATACAAGGAGCTAATGGGTACAGCAGCAAAGATAGTCTTCTCCTATTCCGCAAGGAATAAGATTTTAGAGATACAGTTCTTAAAATTTTAAACAGTCACCTGTCCGCGACTAAGCATCTCTGATTTCTTCAGTTTCTTCATGGCATAAATCTCTCCTGTACCTTTAGCACGACATAACCTTACCTGCAATTATTAAACACAAAAGAATGGTACCATATTTTAACGACAGGCAGTATATTTCATTCTATATAGGTAGGTCAAAACATATAAGTAACCAATAATTTTTTCTTCAGCATATAACCATAATTATCAAAGCTATGTAAGTACCCATAAAGCTTATACAAGAGCTATTTGAACTGGAGAGATTCTCCTTTGCCAATAAGGGAAAACCGAAGTAGTTCTGTGAAATATGATAATTCACATACCTCACCAAATGCACCTTTGCCAATCACAGTTAATTGCTCAAAATCATCAATGCCAATTTTACGTCTTTGCATCCTCATATATTCTGTTTCTCGGCGTTCCAAATTCCGCATCATCTCCTCTTGTTCCTCACTCGGTATCTGATCTTCTTGTACTTTCCTTTGAAGCGCTCGACGTCTATAACAAAAAAATTGTCTAATCTCAGTAACAACACATTTCAATTCCTTCATGTTCAGCACTTACTCAAACCGATCCATAAATGCGAACAACAAGTAAACTAAAGTTCACAGCTAAATCGAGTAATCGTATCAGAATTAGTTCTTCCAGTTTCTCGAGTTTTCGAAAATGCCAAACAGAAAACATAAATAGCAAAAGAAAAACTGAAACTATCATTAATATGGAAAAGATTGATTGAAACAAAAGGGAAAAATTAAGCATTTCAAAATCGAGCTTAAACACACAAATGCAGTATTAGCAGAACTGTGTGCACGAAAATCAAAGACGAAGTTCGAGATTTCTAATTGGAATCACAATCAATACAAATTTTGAAACTTTTGACGAATTAAAAACTAAAAAAATGCGCAAAGTACCTCTCTTTGCGATCCTGCAGACCTTGAAGGTAGTTCTTGTAGTGATTCTCAATGAACTGCTTTGCCGCCACAGCCTTCTGCCTCGTGACCGGCGACGAAACCGACACGTCGGGACCCGACTCGAAGCCGCCGACCCGATCCGGCTTCAAGTTAAGAGCACCGAGCCTCATCGTCCCATCGCCGCCGTCCATCTCCACCGACGAACCCGATCAAAACGGTTCAAAAGCTCAACATTTCAGCGGCGGAGAAGAGAAGCTTCCGGTGGCAGGAATTCGAGGAGAGATCTAGCGCACCGAGTGCTTGCGAAAATGACAGAGTAAGAGTTCAGAAGGGACACTAGGGAGTCTGCACTGGCATATGCGTGAGACGGTGAGAGTACAAAATTTATAAATAATATTCACTATTTATATATGCTTGGCTGGATAAATTAATTAATTACTTAATAAGTAATCTGGTTTTGTTTTATTTCGATGGATTTAATAGGGAATGGAGTGCAATCGACTCCACCGTCTTCCTCGCATGACCTGGAACCTTAAAGGCAGGATTTTTTTATTTTATTTTATTAAATTTCGTTTCTGACTTTTTAGAGAGAGAAAAAGAGGAGAGAGAGAGGGTAAAAGGCCAGTGTACAGACGACTGGGTGTGTCGGCGGAGATCTGTACGTTGACAAGCAAAGGCTGAATCTGAAAATAGCTGGACTGTACTGGTTTTGATCGGGTTTTGGGCTGGACTTGGAGAGGAAAACCATTTTGTACTTGGAATGATGTGACGGTGGTGGGCCAATTATGTAAAAATGACTTGCTTGGCACGGGTACAGAATTTTCATACTCGCTTTGCATTAGTAATACAACGAAGAGTTTTTTTGCATATGAGGTTGTATTGCTAGCACATGATGCTACGGTGAACAGTGAACTTGTATTTTGTAAGAAGTTCTCTAATTACACACAACCATATATTTTCTTTATAATTAATGACAAAACAATCCAAGACAATGCTATAAAAACGATTCAAATCTACTATGAAAGAAAGCTAAACGCAAAGACACATACTTATTAATTGGTCAACAAACTTCACCTACATTTGCACACTATTGTACGTTAAAATTAACTAAAATTTGAGTAGCATAACATGACAAGTGCATAATTAACTTGTTGATCAAAGTGTTGGTTCGTTCACTTGCGAAATTTGCTTCGAAACATATGGTGCTGGTGGTGAAGATCATAGAATGAGCTCCGGTTTCTGTGGCCATTTTTTTTGTAGAGCATGTTGGGCAGCTTATGTAAGCGAATCGATTGGCAAAGATGGTGTTGGATGTTTGTCTCTAAAATGTCCTCATCTGCGCTGTGGCGCTGCTGTTGGCGAAGATTTGGTCCTCTCTGTGTTGGCAACCAAAGGCAATGGTGATGCCGATAAGGCTAAGTATTCGCGGTACCTTCTGAGGTCTTATGTGGAAGATAGTAACGGGAAGAGAAAGTGGTGCCCTGCTCCCGGTTGCAACTGTGCTGTAGACTTTATTGGTGGCTACGGAACTTGTGATGTTTCATGCCTCTGCTCTTACAGATTTTGTTCAAATTATAACGAGGAAGGTCTGAGTCCCGTGAACTGCGATATTGTGGCAAAGTGGATGATGTTGAAGAACAAAGATGAGTTGGAAAATATAGAATGCATTGATAATATAGATTGGATTACTGAAAACACACAGCCGCGTCCAAAGTGCGAGCGAAATATCAAAAAAGACCGAGGATGTAACCAAGTTTCGTGAGCATGCTTTTGGGAGGAGGCTGGCAGACCTCAAAATTCAAGTGGCTGGATTCATTAAGATCGCCCGGTGCTCTTATTTAGCAGCTAGCAGTTACAGGATTTACAAACAATCCTGCCTGAAATAAACTGAAACCAAACAACGGAACTGACTTTGGCCGGATATGAAAATCATTGAAGGGAAGAATGCGGAAACATGTAAATTCACATTCGCCGGCAACAAGTCGTGTGCCACTGACTGAGCTTACAATTTTGTTTAATCAGCTAAAGTAAGGTACGTGTTTCTGGAGCAATGATGCTTAGAATTCCGGTAGCTCTAGGCTAAGTGTCTCCACATTTTTGTGTCGGTTAACATTGCTCGTAGTCGCGTGTAGCTCAAGTCCTGCAGATGCTTACGCACTATACGTGCAACTATAACCAAATATGCCAACGAACAGGCAAGACCAGAAATTTGAAATAGGCCAGAGAAAGGACCAGGACCTATTCCTACTGGACCACCATTCAAGTTGTTTGAAGAAGTACAGTTAGGAGATGACAGCCCGGCCAGCATTTGCTTTTCCAATTTTTCGATTTGTCCATTCTCAGTTGCCTCTAGCATTGCCTCCGAGATGTCAATAGCCAGAGGAGAACCCTTTGGAAAAACCTGCGGCAGACAACGAGAAAAAAATGACTTACTCAGTTACCTCTAGCATTACTATCCCTTCAAAAGGATTTTATGTGCACAGCATGATCCGTAAATATGGTACATGTAAGCTATGCAGAAACAAATTAAACACGACTATACAATGTTTAAAGAAGGGAGGGGAGAAACACACAAATCCAAAACCGCTAGGCTTGTAAACAGGCCCTGTTGTCATGTAGCCCTTGCAGTATTTTGCGAGGAAGACTTTAGCATGAGGCACAACAAAGAAAGCCGCTGCAATATCTTGCTTCTCAAAGGCATTTGGGTAGTCACCTATGGAGGTAATACTTTTGATGTTTTCGGGTCTAAAATCTAAAACATCGGTCAAATATCTAACAATAAAAGAGTTGCCATTACAACCAACGGTTGCATTCATTTTATGAAGTGTGCCAAGATCAAGCATGGACGGGTGGACTTGAGAGAGAGTCATCATGGAGGTGAGGCTTGCAGTGAAAGTGGCCGTTACAGCAAGAATCACAACTAACCATGGAGCCAGAACCAACCGAGCCCAATTGTTATGAACTTGTTCTCCTGCATATATACGAAAGCATGTTAGGCTGTACGAAATGGAGGGACTCCGACAAAGCAGTATGAACGTTTTCGTTTTTTACGAGAGTACTTACTGTGTGCAAAGAAGAGGACGGTGACAGAGAACCAAAGCATTGCCCCAATTCCCTTTATTTCAGGGTTGTCTCCATGTTCATTTTCAATTAACCAGACAACGAAACATACAGAAAGGTGTGTAACAAACAACATGAACCACATTTCTGTGGTGAAGGCACGCATGAACATCCATTTTTCCTTCAGCTTATCTGGCTTCACTGGAACAACCATCTCAAGCCCCGAGCTTATGTATGGCTGTGTGAATTCAACATAATGATACCGATCAGATATGACTTCGAAATCACCAACAGCTGCATCAAAGCTCTGCTTTAAATAGATTAAAATGGTCATCAGTGTCTATAGAAGAGAGCCCTAGGAAAACAGCGTTAACATGAAAAACCAGAAGAAAAGAATCTCTACCTTATTGTAGACCAGTTTCACCATTTCATCATACGAGCCATTGAAGGGAACTAGCTCGTAAGGCAACTGATAAGGAAGATATTCGACAGCTGCTTTAAACACATCGATTGAAAATCCCGAGATGCGTGTTTCATTCGTGCCAGGATCATGTCTTACGTCCACAAACTGCTTGAATGCACCCCTTGCAGGAACCCCTATCTTTAAGGGTCGATCCACATTGACCGGAGTCCACCAATTTGGGGTTGTTTGTAATCCACCAGGCCAATAGGTTGAACCCAAAACTTCAGAAAAACCATTATCCATCCCCTTTTCCATCAAGCTCTTTGAGAAACCGTATCTTGGCGACCAGAATGCCATCTCTCTGTAGCTTCTCCCAACCACATTAATGATTTGAAACGTTGGTGGTTGTGATAGCATACCGTTCTTGAATTCTAGCATGCCACTAAGACCTAGGGAAGCAGTAGACAAAATTTTTTGAGACAATTCTTCTGAGGTAGCATTTCCATGTTGCAATATTGTCACTGCTCGAGTAATGGCCCCAATTGCATCATAAGCTCGGAGAGCGAAGATACTAGGACTAGAAGTTTCTTCTTCGTCAGGGTACTGTAGTCCGTATATCCTGCGAAATCTGGTTTTGAACTGTCTGAATGACGCGGTTGTTTCGAAAAAATTGGTTTTAATACCAATAATACCTTGCATATTATACTTGACAGAAATGTTAACAGAATCAAGAAGGCTTGCAATCTCATCTGTGACAATCCACGCATAGCCCTTGTCCATCATGCCCATCTGCTTCACTTTTTCGAAGAAAAAGACAGCTGACTGCAAAGAGAATTGCATGACTATGAAGACCCTATTGTTCTTGCTTCTCAACTTCTTTAGCTCTTCTTCAACGAAGGCATCCGAGTTAGAGAGAGAAGACAAGGATGGGAAATCTCGGTGGTGTTCAATCTCTGAGTTGACCGAGCTAAGTGAATGAGAGAGGAGAGCTATTATCCCTGAAGTGGAAGAAAATTCATTGTTGCGCTCGTAAACTGCAGTCACCTTTCGCCATTGGAAATGACCAACTAAGGCTGCAACGCATTGCATGTGAAAGACGATATCGTTAGCTATTTGGATGAAGATTGGCCTTTGAGGTGACGCTGATCGCGGCATCGTTGCAGTGGAAGTAAGGGATATGATGGGAACAATACTCTCGGTGATATTATCAATCTCAGAGATAAGAGCTGCTTCCTGCACGGTCAGTCCTCCGACAACGGCCACAACCTGTTTGCTGCTGAGGAGATTTATTGCTGCAAAACAAAAACAAACCGCTGATATCGGCATTCAAATATAAGGTTACAAATTGGTACTGCGAATATAAATTTACCTGCAGCTGTTGCTCGAGCTGAGTTCCCTTGAGAATCTTTCAGGTGCAAATCCACTTTAGCGCAGGTTGACTCAAAAAGATCTTGGACAGCCATTTCCATGGAGATTTTTTGTTCTTTACCCACGCGAGAGCTGAGATCGATGACACAACCGATTCTTGCAGTTATCTGTTGAGTTAGTTGACATTTTTCCTCTCTTCCATTAGCCTTGGCTGAACTCACAAACAATAGCAATACCAGAAAGAAGGAAAGACCACGAAGCATTCTTGCTTTTCGTTGTTAGTCCTTCCGAAATATACAGAATTCATGGTATTTAGAGCTTGATGACTTGACTTTAGGCACAGGGGGAATCATGAAAAATTCAAAGTTGGGGGTTTTCTGAAATTTATATTTTATCGTGTTTGTTTTACATAACATTTCAACGACGATTTTCTCTTAACTTGTTTTTCTGGTTTTCTGGGTGCAATATTTTGTGAAAGTCAACACTCAACAGATCAATAGGACTAATAAGCCTCCCCAAGCCTAAAGTCATAGCAAGATACAAAGAATATTACTGGAGAAATGAGAATAACATGTATTATACAATGCAAAGAATTCCCCACTTGTTTCAAGTCCTCAACTAAAAAAGTACACCTTAGGTCTTGGATTTTGTGAGAATGTGAAGACAAAGTCTCACGTCACTGGGAGACCAAACCATAAAAGGGCTTATAAGCAGTTGGGCTACTCCTTATACTGCCAATTGGTTTTATGGTGTAACCTCAAATTTCTATAGACTTTGACCCGATTGAAGCTTTGATCCTTGAACTAAAAATCCGTGAGAATAACACTATGTTTGGATGAAGCAATTTAAGATTACTAAGGAATTTTAAAATGACGGAAATTGAAATGACGAGATTTTATTTTCTAGAATTTGTGAATTTTCTAGAATTGAATACGGAATTTGTTATTTTTAAACTCTAAGTCAGAGAAATTGGGAATTGACACCTATTTACATGGAATTTAAACTTGGAAATTCGAGGTCTCAAATCCCAAGTTTTTTTCCATACGGAAATTTTAAATTTCTATGCTTATGAATCCAAATAAGGGAATTGGTGCATGTCAATTTATAAATTATGATTTTTATCTAAATTCCAAGTTTATTTTCCTCATCCAAACATAGTGTAAGTGTCTTAACTACCTACATTTACATCACACGAATTGCATTTGACTCAGAAGAATATATGTAGATTCTCGGAAACAGATTTGAAGATAAACTTGATGTCGTATATTATAGCGACATGATGAATTGTTAAATGGGAGAGGAAATATTAATTCTTAGGTAAAAATCGGTGTGATATCGAAGTCAAATAAATTGTATCATCTCAGAATGCCATGGCAGCTTCCTGCATAATGTTAATGTCTCACAAATATATATATATATATATATATATATATATATTCGCGTGTATGTCTATATGCAGATTCTGAGAAATTCATACCACCAAGGTCTATGCTCAAAATAAATTGACAACTTACCAGGGAAAAGTTATTAAAATTTAACTTAATTTAGCTATGGTGCTAGAGCTTATAAGTTGTTGAAAAGGTTGTGTGTAGTTAAAGTAAATGCATTTCATGTTTTTGCCACTCAAAATTTTGTATGCAAAATAAATTGACTACACGATGTTTAAGGAAGGGAGGGGAGAAGGAAACACAGAAATCCAAAACCGCTAAGCTTGTAAACACGTCCGGTTTTTGTGTAGCCCGTGCAGTATTTTGCGAGGAAGACTTTAGCATGAGGCACGACAAAGAAAGCTGCTGCAATATCTTGCTTCTCAAAGGCATTTGGGTAGTCATCTATGGAGGCAATCCCTTTGATGTTTTCGGATCTAAAATCTAAAACATTGGTCAAATATCTAACAATAAAAGAGTTGCCATTACAACCAACGGTTGCAT